ATGGGGATTACCAGATTTTCATAACTTTAAAAACACATATTTAATCAAGTCATCACTGCCATGTCTGCAGTAGGCAGATGTCAGAGCCGTTTCTTTTTGGAGAATCAGACAGAAGTTCTCATGGGTGAAGTCAAGCCAACAAAAGGTAAAGTGCTGATGATTATGAAAGTTTTAAACTTTTGACTGGTTTAGATGGATGAAATTTTTTCTGAGACCAGCCCAAATCTGACGAGCCATTAACTTGACTGGTCCAGGCAATTTCCTCGCTGATTCTTTAAACTGGGATTGCTCTGACTGCTCTCCACTGCAGACTGATAGAGGCAAACTATCATTTCGAAGACGCGTCATAACTTTTCCGATCAACCTAGTCAGTCAGCGTCAACACATTGCTGCGGTCGAATGAAAAACATGTCAAATTGATCATTTTAAAGGCGTGAAGGATATTTAGTGCAAGTTTTCAAGTCACAGCAGCGATGTGGTGAGCAGTTTACAAGACTTGTAAAGTAGAAGAACTGAGTTTTTTTATGTACAAAAAAGAGGAGCTTTTGTTTTAATCCCACGGACAAAGTCCCCACAATCCTCACATGAACTGTCTTCAGATGCCACTGCTTTTAAAGGCATTAAATTACATACTGATACAACCCAGGTTAAAGTCTAATAAGAAATTTTGTGACCAACTTAAGTCAAGCACACATACCAAGGCATAATCAGGAAATGTGCAACTGCAAACATTTGCAAACAAACATTTGATCTATTCCTCAGAGGGAAAAACAGTTGGATGTTTGAAAGGTTTCTAAATGTAAAATGTATTCAAATATATAGAAAACTTGAGTAATAACAAATTTTAACTAATATATATAGATTTTTTTGCCATAGCCAATGTTTCTCACCAAACTTGGAATGGCTTGTGTTAAAGACCAATCAAGTCTGAATAAATTGTGGTAACACCTCGAAGACAGTTCATCCCCAAACTATGTTTGCCAAAGGACGAGTCACGTTGCCAACCAAGCAAGTAATGTTATACATTTTTATAATGCATAACATTACCTCAGTTTTTCTTCTTTGCAAGTTGTTCCTGCTGTTGTTTCTCGGCTTTCCGTTTCTTGTACTGGGCTATCTCGGCCATCTGCAGCCCATGGGCCATTTGCCTGTTGAGACGAAGCGAACACCATGATCACAGCACACACACACTCACGTTCTGCAGTCCTGCAATGGCATGTTTCTCTCTGAAAAAATAAACTTAGCTATTTCATTGGTTTTTTTTTTCTTTTTTGCTATCCAATAGGTCCACCATTTTAAAGGGAAGTGACTAAAAGGCAGAGTCCTTGGGGACTAATTTTATCAGAAAGTCTGAATATAAAGGACTTTACAAGGTTTGACCCAATGCAAGTTTTCTCCTTAAAGATATTTCTTCACAAAGCAGCAAAATTCCTTTAAAACTTTCAATGCAATCCTTCTATGACAAGGGTTAAAACTGATGTAAGGTCTGCCAACAGTTCCTCCTGAATAAAATATTAAAACTCATCAGCACTACACACCTCTGTACATGATACAGTATTTTGAGGTGTAGAATATACATAGAACAATTAGTACTTTTATTCTGCCAGTCCAGGACTTTCCTCTTGTTTGAATTTACTCCTGGAAGATCTGTATCCTGTAGACCAACGGTTTCAAACTGCAGTCCTCGAGTTTGACACTCAATTTTTAGACAAGTCTCCTGTCCAATACACTTGCATTAAAAGGTGAAACAACCTCACTGGAATGCAGTGTCCTACACCACAGGTGTCAAACTCCAGTCATGGAGGGCCACTGCTCTGCAACTTTTCGATGTGCCTCTGCTGCACCACACCTGAATAGAATAATTAGGTCAGTAGCAAGGCTCTGAAAAACTGGTCTTCACAAGGATGAAGTAATTAAGCCATTTCATTCCAGTGTTTTTGAACCAGTGGCGCATCTAAAAACTCCAGCCTGGCCCTTGAGAACAGGAGTTTGACACCCCTGACCTAGACTGTCTGAAGTGACCAAGCTTTATGCGCCATCATTTACTTTCAAATAGCCTTCACTGGTATGTGACAGGTTATTAATCTTCAACTTCTTCATACAGAAAGCCCAGTCTGAGAACACGTCCAGCATTGTCTTCAACTTCATTAATTGTTCGCGGGACCTCTTATATGAACTCAAATGACTGTTTCAGCCTTTGGAGACCAAGGAAGCAAGAGCATGCACAGATGATTACTGGAAGAACAACCCATCACCAACTCCATCACCAACTCCTTGAGTAACTATGTCTAGTATCTCATGTGCTATACAAGTTTTCTGTCAGAATACCCCAGAAGAGAGGGAAGGTTGACTCAATGCCAGGGTTTATATTGTGGTCAACTTCTCTGCTTGACTATGGCCCAGTGGAAGGAGGAGCCATCTTGTGATCCAAAAGTGATAGGTTGATTCCAGCTTCCTTCTCTCATATATAGATATTCCCCTGAGAAAGGTCCTTTATCCCAAGTTGCCTACAAATTAGACCAATGAAATACGTTGGGAGCTTCTTGGATCATGAATAAACTCAATTCTCCCTGTTTTTGACAAGCTGATAATGTCCCTCAAAAACTCCCCTGCTCTATCACCAAATATCCAGAGCTCCTGATCATTTCAATTTTTTGAACCTCATCAGAAAATAATGTCGGTAGGTTTTGTTGACCCCCACTTACATTCAGATACTCTCCACATTAGTCCACACGTCCTTCCAGTGGCTTGAGTTGGTGAACTTACCTCCACAGTCTTTTCCTCAAATCAATTCCTTGTTCAAAGTCTCAAGAGCCGATTGAGCTGGCTTGTGGATCTGGTAAGGATGGCTCCTGGATGCCTCCCTGTCGAGGTGTTCCAGGCATGTACCACCAGGAGAAAATTCAGAGGAAAGCCCAGGGACTGTTTCTCGACTAGCCTGGTAAGGTTTTAGGATTCCCCTGGAGGAGCTGGCCCAAGTGGCTGGCACAAAGTGAGCCAGGAGAACCAGCTTATGACTGCGCCTCTGGTAACACTGGCAATGACAACATTTTGTTGATTTTTTTTTTTACCTGCTTTGAACACGTGGCATTGGATTTGCTAGGGTAAATGGAAAACTCTGTCAAGAAAAACTTCTGGCTGCAGATTACGGATTGGCCCGGTGTGCATGCAAACAATGACCTAAACTCTGCTTCAAATCAAAGATAATAGTATTATAGAGTAATGTGGACTCATTTGAAACAAAAGTTGGAAATAACATGCAGAATTGTTGGAGATTGTGTTGTCTTTATGTGGCCTCTTTTGAATGCTGCGTTTTCCCTAATGTGTGTGGAGCTGTCTTCTTAAAATCAACTGTTTGCACAAAGATATTACTAGAACATGGTGTCTGTAACTGTACTATGGTTGATTACAACACCTAAAACATGTACTGAACTTTACATATAGTGTATAATAAAACCAAATCCTTTGTTTCAAAGTGGTAGTGTGGATGCTTTCCTTGTTTATATTTCTTAATTTCCAATAAAACGTTGCATCATTGTAATCTGTTTATAAAACTGTAAACAATATGATACACCCTGGTAAAATTTCAGATGGGAGGAACAAATTCATGCAAGGACCAGTATGAAAGTGGCTGATTTTGAATTTGAATGAAGAACTGATAAGGTTACTTGTAGGTAGTTATTCAAAACCAGTGCAGGACTCAGAATCTGGAGAGAACTTTGACCGGGCTGGAAAAATACTAGCTCTAAAAGGAGGTGGTGGAAAGAAGAAGAGCATAAAGACAAACATGAGGAGGGGATGGAAGAAACTCATTCCTACCCTGACTTAAGTTCTGGAGGAACCGGCAGAGGTTTGGTGAATCCATCTCTCCCCGTAAGCCAGTATGTTTCTTCTATTCCTTTTCCCTGGAGAAGAGGTAGAGACAAAACAATTATTTCTTCACGCTTCTAGTCATACAGGTGAAAGAATCTTTTTATTGAAGATTTGTACTTTGACTTCTGTGCGACCCCTCAACTGAAGCTTGTAGCCAAGATTGAGTTCCTGCAGGACCTTTACTGTACTCTGATGGACATGAATTCTGTAGGCTATCGTAAGAGAAAAAATAATTAATATCAAAACATCCTAGATTACCTAACAAAAAAAGTAGAACAAAGAAAACAAACTGGAAAAAAACCCAAGTAAAGTGCTTTCCTACTGGTCAGAAAACCTATCGGTGAAGGGACAGCTAAACGCAGATTGCAAACCTGAAGAAAATAGCAAAGACTTCAAATCTAAAGTTTGTGCTTGATATCAAGAGACTACAGTAAAAAATAATAATAATTTGGGATTTTATTGACTAAAATAAAAATTCTTAAAAATGATGTTATTTCAAAGCTATTTTTAGATTTTTTTGTACTTTTTTTTATAGTACTTAAGTCTGGAAATGTTTGGTTTCTGCATAAACAGACTTAAATCAATAGATCGGAAAATATGTGCCAGTTTTTTTAATTAGAGTTTCATCCACAAACCTGTTCTCTGACTTGTGTGAACTTACGCATTCCACTGGACTCCATTCGAGAGGCGGTGGTCACCGTGTCTCCAAACAAACAGTAGCGAGGCATGGTGAGACCCACCACGCCTGTTACGCACGGACCTGCGACACACCACAGATCCAAAGTCAAGTTTCTCCCATTGAAGAGCAAAACATCTGGCGTACATATGGATCTTCGCCGTCTGTCTGAATGTCGATCGAAAGTCGGAGAACTCGACTTAACCGCCAATCTTTACTCACCTGTGTGGAGTCCTATTCGTATTCTGACAGGTACGTCTGGCATGTGCCTCATTTTGAAGGTTCCCACAGCGCTGAGGATGTCCAGAGACATGTTGGCAATTTCTGCAGCATGGCGGTTGCCGTTGGGGACAGGAACGCCCGACGCCACCATGTAGGCGTCGCCGATGGTCTCCACCTTGAGAAGGCCGTGAGAAAATGAGCATCAATTTCAACCCCCTAATGTTACCACTTCAGACACAAGATTAAAGATGTGACCTTGTAGACATCGTGGTTGCCTATAATGGCGTCGAACAGCGTGTAAAGGTCGTTGAGGAGGTCGACCACCTCGATGGGTTCGCTGTTGGCTGAGATGGTGGTGAAGCCAACGATGTCGCTGAAATAGAGCGACACGTTGTCGAAATATTCCGGCTCCACTACCGCTCCCACCATCAAAGCCTCCGCCACTGACCTGGAGGAGTAAAAAAAACCCCAAAAACTTTTAAAGAAGTTTGCATAACCCAAGCCGAAGTAAAAATGCACTTTAAACGCAGAATTGAGAGCGCTAACAAATCTGCAACGCTTTTCTGACAAATTATCAGTATTGTTTTCGTCTTTATCTTTCGTTTTACCTTAAAAAAAATAAAATTAGCATTCCACGCGAGTTTCTTTGTTCATTGATATGAGAGGTAACGTACGGGGGAAGCATCTGTGTCAGCAGCTTCTCCGTCTTCTGCTTTTCTATCTCCAGCTCCTCCGTTCGCTCTCTGATCAGCTCCTCCAGGTTAGAAGAGTACTGCTCCAGCATCCTCAGCATTGAGTCGATGATGTTGGTCTTTTTCCCTTTGTTGATGTTTTTGAACTGAAAGGACCGGAAAGCGCATGGATGTCCAACAGAATTCATTTCGAAAAGTGTGCTTTAAAGTAGACTTTGTTAGAATCAGGATGAAAATATTCAGGCGCAACTTGATTGGAAATAAAAAAGAATGACCTGGTCAAATATGTCATCAAAGGTCGGCCTCTTGTCCGGCTGTTCGGTCCAGCATTGTTTCATCAGCTGAATGCACTCCATAGGAGCGTAATCTGGACTGACCACCGGACGGCACAGGGGTGGAGGCTTTCGAAGCTTTTCTAATATTTCTGAGGACATAAAACGGGGATCTCGTCTTTCAAATGATGCTAAAATCTGAACAGCGGGCTTGAGTCTAACACTAGACGTTGGAGATCATTTATTTTCCCACAATTTAAGGTTGTTTGAAGTACTTGTGAGTTGTCTTAGAAATAAATCAGTGATTTAATTTCGATTTGACGTGAGCGAATGCAATGTTGTGGAATTTTGACACTTTTACAGTCGATACCCATTAATGTTGTATGCACATTTTGTTTAAAACCATCTATGTGTTGTTTATTACACAAGATCCATCTTGTTAATGGATATGTTACAAGAAAACGACACTATATACTATATTTTTTATGTCTTTGAAAACTATATATCTTATTAATTTCCATTTTTTCTAATCTGACAAATATTTTAATCAGTTTAGCTGATTTAAAAATGCTTGCTATCTCGTGATTTCCATCAGCAGCAGCACAACCAGTCTTGCCTGCGTCGGAGAGGTCCAGCATGCAGAATGGAGGCCCTCTGATCACCACCTCCTGCATTATGATAGCAAAGCTGTAAACGTCACCGGGGAGAGTCCCGTGGAGTCCCGGATGACTGGCTCTCAGGATCTCTGGAGCCGTCCACAGCAACTCTTCAACAAAAGAAGTGATTTAATGTCCTGCTGCTGCTACAGTGAGACCGCAGGGTCCACTTTTCATAGCGTGAACCCTACAGAAATTCATTTTCAACATTGCAGGGTTGCAGAATGGTCAGCTTCCAGAAAGAAAACAGAATCAGTGCTTCTCTATTTCACAAATCTATGAAACGCCTGGTCAATACCTAAACCACAATTCATTGAAAGCAAAAGATTGGTAATATTGATGTATATTATCTTTCTTTTATAATTAGAGTACTTTTTTCAGTAGTTATAACAAAGTTTCCCCTGGAAGAATAAGGGGGATGAGTTTGCCGTATTTTCATTGCTTTTGTTAGGGTCAATAATGTATTTTGTAATCTAGTAAATGCACCTCCCCCAAAAGTAAGTGAATTGTCCTGAAATGAATAAAATCTCTGAAAAAGCTTTGTACCTTCTGGACGCGATTCAACAAAGGGGAACCGCTGTGACTCCAGAACCTCATTGTAGCTGTAGTCTGTCACTTTGAGGACAAAACGTCCGTCCACCACACAGTTACGAGACTTCAGACGGGTGTGACACACTCCACGATGGTGAAGGTACTTCATACCCTTTGACATTGGGAAAAAGAAAGTAGGTGAGCTTTCGTCGACTTCTCTGTTTGACATGTTATCTTCCACCTAAATGTACCTTAATGAGGTCCAGCAGCAGAGACGATTTAAACATCCAGTCAAGTTTGACGTCGTCGTTCAGCAGCAGGTCCTCCAGGCTTCCTCTGGAGCAAAACTCGGTGACGATGGCAAACACGCCGCAGTCATGGAAGAAGCCCAGGAAAGGGTTGACATTCTCGTGACGCATGTCTTTCATCTGCAGGAACATGCAGGACAAACCTACTCCAGTGGTTTCACAAAGCGTTGAGTTTTAACTAGCCCTCCTACACAGTCCCGCTCCATTTTAACCTGAGATTTGTCCAACTAACCCAGATTTCTTCGGCAGAGTTTCAATGCAACAACGTCAATTTCATCTAACTGAAAAGTAGATGAAATTTTCAGTTACAGGTGCTAACCTGGCTACAGGCCTGCAGCAATGGCGCCGAACGTGGTGAACGAAGCCATTCGGTCTGTGTTGGCCAGACTTCCAAATATTAAATTAACGTTAAAAGCTGCCTCGTTCTGCTCGGCAGTTATTTCTTCGCAGTCTGGGATGAATGTTTACAGCACAGGCTGTAAATAGTAAGTTTCACAGAGTTGAACTGCCGCATTATGTTCAGGCCAAACATTAGTGATGGGGTAAAATTCAAAGCTACAAAAGTCCACACATCCAGACTCTCCTTTAGTGAAGCATAGAACAAAAAAACATTTTAATTTTAATCGCTAGGTCTCCATTTTGTTTTAGAATCTGTTTTCCTTTTTTTCAGATAAAATTAACATTTTGCAAGACATTAGATAAAATTTTGCCATTTCAAATAAAGGTTTTGCTGTATGGTACAATAACTTGTATAAAGATTAAAGGTGTTAAAACAATCTAAATGTTTTAAGTTTAAATTTAAGGTTTAATCACCAAGATTTGATCCATTTTATTATAGGTGTTGCAAATATACTCAATTTTGAAATCATGAAATATTCTGATTCATACCAATGAAATGTATAAATATAGTTTAATATGGTATTCAGCTCTTCTAAATCAACATACATCAATCCTTGCAGCCTTCCTAGCAAAGAAATGTTTATCTAAATGTCAATTGTCCAATACAACACAAGGTTTTCCCCAGAAAACTTGCTATGTCTGGTGTTTGGGAGGTAGGGCAGTCATTGATCCAGTGGTCCGTCGTGTTTTCGAGTTTAAAAATGTTTAAAGTTGACAGAAAATGTTAAAATATCAATTGATAACTATGTCATTGAAAGATTGGAAGATTAAGACCTGAACACCAAGTATAAAGTCTCAAAAAATAAAAATATTTCAAAAAGACCTAAATAAAAAAGCAATGCTGAGCCTGGTGGCCCGCCAGGCTTATAATACACTTTGGGAAACCCTGCAGTACACTGCTTTAGAACACAATAGTCATGTTTTTTTTTGTATCTCTCATCTTTTTCACATACCAATTCAAAAACATAGCTGGTTTTAGGGTTGATGCTCCGAAATCTGCCGTCAGGTAGCCTCTTCAGCCACGCCCAGTCACCCTGATCAGGAGAAAGAGTGTTCAAATAAAACTCACCTCAAAGTTTCACACACTAACTTTACTCTTTCCATACATATACCTCGTTTAGATTTAGGCAAAATAAATTAAGTACTTTGAGCTACAAAATATAAGACAAGATAATATAGCATCTAAGTGAAGTTGCTCTTCATAGATCAAGACGTCTCAAACTGTCATCTCACTGCGCTAAATTTACCACTTTTTTTTCCCAACTGAAAGTGATGACGTCATGTTCTAGATCTGGGATACATCTGGAAGTCTGACCTCAAAAATGACAACGTTTGAATTCTCGTATGTGGCCGGAGACTGGGAGGAGGCGGGCGTGTTGAGGCTGCGTTCAGACGTGCTCCGGCCACCGCTAGTCCTGCTGTCATCTAGGCTCAGCTTCTATGGATAGCAAATTGTTACCGGTTTAGAAAAGTAGCAGGAGTTACAGAGCGCCAGAGCGTGGATTTAAATCAGTGCTTCTCAGATCCAGTCCTCAGGCTCCCGTGCTCTGCATGTTTTAGATGCAGAGCATGGGAATCATGCAATCACAGCTGATTCAAGTGATTGCATGACCATCGAGTACTGCAGAAGGCTGTTAATCACCAAAATATTCCATCCAGGTGTGTGGCGGAAGGGAAACGCAGAACAAATTGGCGTGAGGACCAGAAATGAGAAACACTGGTTTAAATAGTACAAAGAACATTGAATTTAACAAGAAGCTTTGGGGGGATTTGTGATGGGAAAAAGAGTGTTTTCATGACACAGCATAATGGCTGACCTTGTTGCTAAGTGACGGGTTAATAAATGTGACGTCTTGGAGAGTAAGCAGGATCTTGTTGGGACCTCTGACCATTCGAATCTGATTGACGCGTCGCCTTATAGGGAGTCGAGGGGGGGGATGAAAAACTTGTTTATGTTTTGTTGTTTTTACCTGTTAAAGATTCCTACAATTCAGATTCACTTTAGCTTTAGATTAATAGTTTCTACAGGAGATTTCATACTTGATGCAGTACAGGAGAGCCACAGCGAAGACAGAAGCAGCAATAGAACCAAAGAACATGCTGAAAGTCAATAGCAGATCCACTCCTGGAAAAGAAAAGACAAGAAAAACAGAGAGAACAGACTTTAACCTATAATGCCATTCAAAAAACGTTCTACTTTGTGAAAGGAACTCTGAAAAAGTCATGTGAGCTGCAGCAGATCCTAAATACATAGACCCTGAATAAATGTTTTTGTGGTTTTCCTCACCTCCTGAGCAGGTGACCCCGGGTGTAAACCAGCAGGCAGCGTCCCTCCTGGGCCCATAGCCTTGTGGGAAGTGAATGTCTCGCCCCAGGAAGCGAACCATGCTGATCTCCATGTCGATCCTGCCATGGATCAGTGAGATCGGTGGTTAATTGAAGAGGGTGTAGTTTATCAGGCTGTTCTTTTTCAGCAAATTGTTCAAATATGATCTGGAGGAAAGATGCCATGCTCGGTATAATATTAGATCACCTGGAAAATAATATACAGTGGCGTCTCCAAAGGGTGGCTACAAGGGAGGCCCTGGGCCCTCTTAATAAATGCTGGCCACCCCATTGGCCTCCTCAGAGAATAATATTCATATCATAGAAAGCCATACATCATCCCCTTCTTCAATAAAGACATAAATATAAAACCCAATAAAAAAAATTAATGCAAAATAAATATTATTTCAGCTGTGTCCCTTAAAAGTTTTGCGAGCCTGGTCTGGCCACTCTTATAAAACATTTCTTGGGATGACACTGATAATGTCAAAAAATCATAATTCATTTATTGATTACTTTTGACTACTACTACAGATCATAGAATGCAGGCAACTTATTGTATAATTTATTTCCTGGGCCTTGCTTTGTACACTTGTGTTCAGTTCACGTTGTATTGTTCACTCTAGCAAAAAGGGTCAAAGTTAGAACATTTTAGAAAAGAAGGCCCACACAATAAACACTTCCATACCAAAATTTACATTTCACTCAATCAGACAGGCAAGTGACTTTCTTATTCATTTGTTATTTATCTTGGTGGAGCAAATTCTTTGTTGCTCATTGGAAATTAGAAAACGCTGAGACCTACTTGTATGTTGGCACGAGATTCAAGCTCAATCCATCTGTGTCCAAGATGAGGTAGTCCAGCTGAACAGCTCCAGAGCTGCTGGTTTTGATACGGTGGCTAAAGCCCTGTGAATTAACAAAATGTGAAATCCTATAGCATCTCTTTATCTACCTCATGTTATGCTGAAATTAGAAAAAAAAAGTGGTTTGGTGTTATGAACTTCTTGGGTCTATCTGTACCTGGAAATCCAAATTGCGTATATGTTGTGCCAGGTTTCCTCCAGACATCCATACCCTGGACTGACGAACGCGATGCACTGCATGAGCCATGAACAGAATAGAGTCGTAGATGGTTCCAAACAGAGGGGACACCTGGACCACAAAAAGAGATGTCAGCTTTACTTGTAGGATTTCTCTTTTATTTTGGGTAAAGGATCCCAAGCCATTTTTTCCACTAGCTCTTGACTCGCGTATTTGATTTGGTTCCATTTACCCAGAATGCCCTGTGCTATAGTCCATGGTTCACTTCAACTGAACTGAAATCTCAGTTTTTAGGCATTTTTGTTCCGCATTGGCGATTGATTGCGCATTCACACCTCGCCAAATGAACCAGACTTTGTCGGCAAATGAACTAGAGTTTGATTAAAGTCGACCGTACAGGGCTGGTCTGAACTAATGTACCTGTTGGGGTTTCAGCGTTCTTGCCACCTCTCCTCTCTCCATAGCTTCTCTGTAGGCGTCATAGAATGACGCCTGGGGGGAGTCGATGGTGATAGTCAACATGGCATCGTAGGCCCGCAGCAGTTTGCTGTTGTTCTTCACGGTAGGGTAGGTTGCATTGACGTATGGCAGGCTGTAGAGCAAAGTGTCATAAGGTACAAACACGAAGGAGCCGTCGATCATCTGCATGTCGTAGGCTGTTTCTAAGAGGAGCTTCTGGGCCAAACCGCCGATGAGAACCGAGTGCATGCAGAGGATCACAGCTAGGACAGAAAAAGACGACTGGCGTCAGAGACTGCCTGATGGTCCAAAATGTCTTTTATAAGCTTTTGCTCTCAACATTACTATATGAAATACATGGAACATAATAAAACTGTTGGAATATAGTTTATGGTTAAATGACAAATGTATTTATATTTTCTTGCTGGTGTACGAATCTTAACACTAATAATTGCAATGAAAATGAAACATTGGCATGAAGTGAATTTTCATGGCTAACTCTTGACAACTAGTTTGATTCACAGAATTATGATTTTACAACCATACAGAGAAAGTACTGTATATCAGAGAAACCCTGTTGAATAACCTCATTGATGCTACAGTGTTATCTCACTGATTGGTAATATTGATGTATATTTTCTAAAGTTGGATTTTTTTTAAAGTTGGATTAGGCTTACCATGGATTGCCTTCTGATACAATTCTGGTTTGTATTGAAAACTACAACTGTCTTATACAACATTTCTGCTTAATATCTGCTTGTCTCTTGAATACCTCAATCTTACTGTCTTACATTGGCACTGGAGACTTTCAATCCTTCTTTCTTGGACATTGATTTGATTTTTTTTATTGTTTATTTGACACATTTCTTCACAGATGTGTAAATTTACATGTCTAAAGTGAGGCACGAGTTGGGAAAGGTGTAAGAGAAATATAATTTTCCTTTTCAGGAATAGTTTGTTCCTAGTCCAATGAACATCCCAAGCTCTTTTCAACAAGAACCATCAGTTTTACCTCGTATTTCCTTCATCTTGCGGACTTTGGCCAAGGTTCGCCTAATGCCATGAGGTGTGTTTTCCATAAAACTGACAAATCTGACGTTCATCCCATGGCTCCTTAAAGAGTCCGCCACCTAGACATGACATGAAAGATTTGACAGACATACTGGTTTTTACCAGTATGTCTGCACATACTGGTAAAAACCTGAAACAAGTTTGGTTTTGTCACCTACAATGCAGCTTTCTACTTTTACATAGAACTTGAAATTTTTGGTCTTTTAGAGTGAAAATTGGCAAAAGACAAACATTCAGACCTTGGTTGCTGTATTCACCCAGATGTCATCGGAAGAAGAGATGATGCCAATGTGAGCCCACCTGAAGTAGGTCATGACACTGTGCAGCACTGCGGTGGGTCTCGCCATAGATCGGGCAAACGTCGGATGGCTACGGACATCATCTAACTCATAGCCAACACAAGCCCAAGGAAATATTGCCTAATGGACGAGAGCATACAGAAGAAAATATAGCTGCTTCTTTAACAACTGTTCTAGCTAAGAAAAGACAACTTCTGTGGACAATAGTTACTTTGTTCCAGCCTTTGCTCAGCATCGAAGCAGCATCACAGTATCCCGGGTTGACCGGTCCAATGTAACCAGACGCCTTTGTGTGGAAACCCACAAATGCCTCCAGTGCCCTGGATGTTTCACAAGGCTCCTAAACAGAAATATTCAATCAACAAATTGAAAAACTAAGATGACACAACAAGAAAACAAACGAAATAACCAAGAACTTTCAAACATCCAATTGTTAAAGAAAGGACTTTCGCTCTACCTGCAGCACAGCATAGCCAAACGTAGCAGCGTAGGACAGCGAGGGGTCTCTGTTGATGCGATTCACCGCCAGCTGAGCCGCAACATTTGGAAGTGCCTTGGCAAAGAGCCGGTCGCAACCCCACGGTCCAACCACGCCAGCCCGAAACAAGACTGCATGCGCTTGGCAGGGCAGTATGCACAGAGCCGTAAGAAGGGTGAGGAGGATCCTCAGGAGACCATTTCCATGCAGTCTGAGAAGAGGGAGGAAACTTGAAGGTTGTGGAAGGAAAGAGAAGGGACATGGGGATGAAGAAGATGATGGCGGTGTGTGATGATGATGGAACGGGGCGACATTGGGCGTCCGCTGTTCCCGTGTTGGAAGTAAGGAGATGAAGTCATGTTGTTGCTGAAGCATCTCAAAACATTCAGTCCCCGGGAGTTCAGTAGAATCTGGTTAAAGACGGTTTCCCCTGCAGTAAGGAATGGAGAAAAAAAACATATTGTAGAAATGTTTATGCACAATCATCAATTTTGTAATTTTTATTATTTGTTACAGCAATTCTCTTGCCAAAGTTGAAATTGACTGATGCATAGTTGGTTGCCTTGTGTTGCCAAGGCTTTTAAGCCTAGTTAAATTGTAATTAATAGAGTTAAAATGAGTGTTTTTGAAAAGCCAGTCCAGAAGCTAAATATGAAATGATTTGATTAATTCCAGAAACAGCTTGAATTGGGATGAGATTCAACAACATACAACCAACTAGTTTTAATATACAGAATGTGACTACCGCTGTGCTTTATTGGTGGTACAGTCTTTTATTTTATTTTATTTTTTTAAGTCCAATCTTGATTCCACCAAACAAGGTTCCTAATCAATAAAAATGAATCATAATATTTTTCAGATAGCATGTTGTAGCATGTTTTTGCAGGTAAACACAACATGCTACAACATGTTGTCCTGTACAGTTATATAACATATAACTAACCAGTATACAACAGTATAGTTATATACTGTATAAAAAGCAAAGCAAACACCTCTGTGATAAGTGTTATTTAAATGTAACAAAGTTGTGATTAGTTTTTGCAAAACTATTGCAAATACTAAATACATGTGTCATAAATAGATGTAAAATATCTTACCATGTACTGAAGAGACGGACTGTTGTTTTGTTTCTCAAAGGCAAATCTTCTGACCCCAATAACCAACTTCAGAAGCGATTTCATTGTTTCTTCTTTTCAAACATAAAAGTCTTAGAGTTGGACCACTCAACACTAGTGTAACATTATTAACCTAACAGGTTCTTTACATTTTGACTAACCAAACCTCTAAGTTCATATGAGACGACCTGCACTGAGCGTATGACCTGTCCTACCAGATTATGTCAAATCCAATCAGAATCTTTAGAGATAATGATTTTCATCAATGTCATCATAGCACTTTCTTTTACTGTATCTTGTATTAATTGCTCTTTGTTTGGGTGGATTATGGATGCTAAGAATTTAGTTGTATTTCAATAATGTAATATAGCCTCTCTTTTAAAAATGCTTTTAGAAATAGATGAGACAAGAACCTTGAGACAACAAAGACCCTCAAAGAAATATGACAAGGAAGCCACACACAGGACAAGTTGGTGATGTGCATTCTCCCTTTGAACACATTGATTTATTTTATTGAATGATTCATTCAAAGGGCTTCTTGAGAATATTCGAAGAATATATAGTGAGGTAATGTCTTTCTTTGAATCAGGTGAATCAGAGCATGAAAAGACGCATAACCAGAGGTCCTTGTAGGCCTGAAATGGGCTTTTGCATGATTTCAAACGTGTAACTCAAAAACCACAAACTCTCCCGAATGAAACTATAATAACACATCGAAAGTCTTACCTCGCTTCGTTCAAACCGCAATTTGAAACACTGAAGCAGACGTTTTGTGCGAGTAGGTGCAGAAATGTTTGTAGATTGCTGGTGCTTTTGTCTCCATGTGAGCAGACCAAACATGACTCGCGCTCACGGCTGTGAAGAATGCAGCGCCACATGTTCTCCGGAGTCTGAGGATTTATTTGTTTTGTCGAAACCCTGCTACTTTGCAGATTTCACTGGATTTTACTAAATGATATCAGCCTAATGGGGTGGATGGATAAATAAATTTAGATCAGCAATATTTTTGTTAAATTTAGGTTTTGCCTTTTGCCTCAGAACTGCAGTTTGTTAAGAGAATGATAAAAAGGAAGAGAAACAGAGAGAGAGAGAAATAAAACAGGATTAAACTCTCACCTTCTTCTTTCATCCTGTTTTAATTGCATATCTCTCAAATGCACTGACTCTCTCTGAAAGCTAGGGGTCAGTATGATCCCGAAGTAGCTAAAACAAAAAGGCAGTTTGGCCACTGATGTTTCTAGGGAGAGTGCTGATATTTTTACATTTTTCTCTGGCTCCTTTGCCCATTTTGAACTTTTAAAACTCAACAGTTTAAAATAAGAATTTAATATAAAAACTCTTTTTTTTTTTTGAGTACACAATGCAGCACTGTTCCAACTCTAGCCTTGGCAAGAGAAGTGCAGCAACGTTTCCAGCAGCTGTTTTCACAATAAAGTTACATCACCTCAGACTGAACCAAGACAAATCAGTCCAAATGTGAAGACTTGACCTGACAGACAAACTCTGACTCTTTCTGTAATGCACACATTGTCCTGCCACATTAAACGCTTTCATATATTTGCAGCTATTGTTGAGAGAGTGCCTTGCAGAAATATGTATGAACTTTTTAACTTTTGGTCATATTCCAGCCACAAACCTTAGCAAATTTGATAGAAATGTGATGTGAAAGATCCACGGAAACCAGTGGAAAATTGATTATGTGTATATTCCTTACTTCTTTACTGTGACGCTGTTAGATTTTTTTTTTTTGTAAAAAGCCTAAACGTCTTTCTTTTTAGTTGCACAAAGGCATCAAATAATAAATCAAAACAGTAATTGGAATATCTGATCTTGAGGTAGATCTCTCCATCGCACGGAGTTCATGAACTCTCCTGCTGCTGAGTTCAACCCACAGGTTCATATGCCATACCAATGCTCTCCTTATATCAAAGTGTTGACAGCCTCAGGGTTTAGGAACTCTTTGAATTGATCGGGAGCTCTCTCTTCATGAATCCTGATGAAACGGCCACTTAGCGTTCACTGACGGAGACCCTGTCATTCTGAAGACACCCAGGCACCAGAGGGACTCTGCGAGACCTCCAAACAGGACGAGGCAGGTTCTCAAATTCCACCGGCGATGTCGTCTGTGTCAAAGCTTCTGATTCTGATTGAAGACTGCTGCCGAAGGCCTTTTGGGGTGAGACAAAATGCTAAGAGCATAAGAAAGGGCTACATTTGTTTTCTTTGTCTGAGCATCAATGTGCCTTGTTTCACTGATTAACAAAAGAAGTTCCCAACCAACGGCTTGTACCAGGTATGTCCACGTACGTACTTTCACATCAACAGGATTCAATAAATACCTTTGCAGTCTTTTCTTCTGGTTCTGGTCCACTTTGCTTCTCCAAAACCAGAACCAAACATGGAGAAGCAGAATTCAGTTTTTATGCTCCACTAATCTGGAAACAATGAGCTCCTTCAAATCAAGGCATAAACCCCACCTGTTCACAACAATAACTGGAACAATGATTAATATATTTGATTAATGATTAATTGGGGTTATTCTTCATGATGGATTTTGATGTTATGTTTGTTGCTTGTGTCGTAATTGGTTACTATGTCATGTTTTTATACTGTAAAGCACTTTTAATTGCATTAATAAAACATGCGCTAAAGATAAACTTGACTTGACTTTAAACTTCAGCTCGTGTTCTGAAGAGCTGAAGTCCAGGTTATTATACCTTAAAAGATTTTATTACTAAAACTGTGAAAATAATTTAATTGAATTTGACTTGGCCACATCACCCTGACCTCAAATCTGATTTGATTCTAATTTAAAACCTTTAATGAAGGACAGGTTTGCGAAGAACATGCCAGAATCACAACTTTGAGATTCAGCATTTTGTGGTCTCGTTTCCAGAGTTGACCTCCCTTACAGAATTTCCCCTTTCCTGAATGATGTCACATAAATCAGACTCCCTGTTGCTTTCCATCTCAGCCAGTTTACTTTGGAGCTACAGACAGCCAGATGTGTGTCAGGGGCGATGCTTTAACCCGAAAGGACTAAATTTATTAGTCATCTAGTCCCAAAAGTAGCAGTGAAACACACCCACAGAGACATCCTGAAAGCCTCGGATGATCTAACACAAGCACACGATTTGGATCTCTCACAGCTAGGTTTGCAATGGTTGCCTTTCTTTGGCTTGTTGAGCTGTTTGTCCATCAGATAGCATCTGAGAGGCTGCTAGATAAGTGGCCTCCACATGGCCAGTAAACCGATAAGAACGCAGACAGAGTGTTACTGGGGTTTTTGTTTGCAACTGTAACTAAGGATCGACTGAAACAGATAGCTTATGGAAAATACAGAGATAAAGCACTGACATAAATCAGCAGGGTTGCATCCAGAAAGTTTGGCCCCCATTTTCTCAACCGATTTATTTTGACATTATGAAGGTGGACATTACCCCGGTGGCAATGCCACTGTATTTTAGGGATACATTTCATTAATCGTTTGAAGCAAACCTCTAGATGAACTTTGATATACAGATCTAGATTTTCCTAGAAATTTTCCTTTCATAAACTCATGGAAATATTATGAATTCATGTAATTTAAAAAATGTTTATTTTCAAAATCAAATGTTGTTTCAAAACAAAATTACATAAAATACTGCGTTTATGTCTTTCATAACAAATACTTTTAAATTTAGAAGAATTACTCGTTCATTTTTGAAAACAAAGACAAAATTTATTAGGTAGAAAATAGCACAATGATATTTATTCTCTGTCCTGTCCTTCCGGTATGCCCAAATAGTGAAACAGAACAAACAAAAAATATATATACAGGCTATTTGAAATATTTCGTCCCATTTTTAGATTATATGATTGTAATAAAAATAAGTAATTTTACTCTTTGAAAATATCTCCAGCTTGCCCTAACTGACGCATCTTTTTTTCAATGCTACCACAGACATAATTGTTCACAAAATGCCAAATAAAGTATTTTCTCAAAACAGAAACATGCAGGAACAACTGCAAACAGGTCAAAATTATCCCAAACATAATGTATTTTGTGTTACATTTACAAAACTCCCAAATTTCTGAGAGATCTTGGAGGGAACACAAGCATTATTCCTTTCCTCAACAAAATAACAGGAAATTAGAGAT